GAGAACAGTCCCATCCAACGAATAGAAGGCAGCCCTGAAGTCAAGAAACACTACGATTGTTGGCCTTTGATGAGTATGGCGGTGTTCTAACATTTGGCGGAGGGTGAAGATATGATCAATACATCCTCGACCAGAACGAAAACTAACCTGCTCCTCGAGAGTCAATCTTTCTCGAGTTTTGAACAACCTACGAAGCCAAAAGTTTGGACACAATCGGAAGTAGACTTATCCCCTGATAGTTGTTACAGGAACGACGTGAACCGTTTTTGAAGATAGGGACAACTATCGACTCATTCTATGACGTTGGTACACTCTCTAGTTCCCACACCTTTGTAAACAACGTCGTCAGTTCCTTAGCCAGAAAGTCACCACCATCTTTAAAAAGAGCCGGAGGTAAGTCATCTGGGCCAGGTGATTTGTAGCGTTTAAAGAGTCGAAGTTCCTTGCAGACTTCCGCCTCATTTGGTGGATCAGTCGTCACCGGCTATGGAGGGCAGGACAGTCTGACCGATGTTGCCGAGGCAGCAGGCCAATTGAACTGCCCTTCAAAAAATTCTGCCCATCGTCCAAGACGTCAATGGATGTTAGTGATTGGCATCCCGTCATCCTCGCAGATTGTTTCGCTCACACCAGAATTCTTGCTGACAGTGGCTCGGATGAGTTGGAAGAGCTTCCGGTAGTTACCAGACGCAGCTGCTGCTTCCAGCTCATTAGCACGCTCCGACCACCATGCTTCTCGGTCCTTACGCAAGCTTTGCCCAATTTCACTACGTAACAACCTTCGTTTGTGGTCAAACTCACGGTCACCCGGAGTAGACCGACGGGCTTCAATGAGTTGTAAGGAGCCTAAAAAAACCCAGTGCTTATTAGCGGGACGTTTCGCGAACCCACAACTAACTGTACCCGCCATTTTCATGGCGTCATGCAATTGCAACCAATGCTCATCTATACTTTTCAGTGGAATAGTAGCTAGCCTAGAAGCTAGCTCGATTCGATACTTACTAGCAACAGTAGTTGCAACCAGCTTGCAAACGTCAATCCGTTGGTGGCGGTCACTTCGTTGGCCACTGAAAAGTAAGGTAAGATTGGCGCAGACCAAGGCATGGTTAGAGTCCAGATAGGTACTCCAATAGGAGCGGCAGTCTTGTACACAACCACGCCAGAGGAAGCTGATCGCGATGTGATCAATCTGAGTCCAGGCTTGAGATGCAGTGGGAGGACGCCAGGTGGCACATCAGCGATGACTGTGCCGAAAGTTAGTGCTAGCCAGAAACAGGTTGTGGTCTGTGCACAGTTGTAGTAGACGGTCCCCGTTATCTGTCCTGCGACCAACAAGTCCCCATCGGCCACCTAAACGACTCTCTTCTGTGCCCAGACGCGAATTTGTAGTACTTCACCAGAGTCTTGAGTACGGGTCTCGGATAGACAGCAAACGTCAATATTAAGACTTTCCAAAGACATAGCCAGCCCTATCTGTTGTCCGACCTACATAAATGTGCGAACGTTGAAGGCAGCCAGTTTGAGTGGTGCACGTGGTTTCATAAAAACTGCTTCAGTATTCGTATTCGGTGGTAACATACAATTTTCAACCGGACAGTGACTCGAGAACGTTTAGATACAGTCGGATTTCCACCATAGACGAGCTGCTGTGTAAGTCGAAAAAAATAAGTATAAACAGAGTGGGAATAAGCGAAGGTGAATAATTACGTAGTAAATAATAATAATAATAATAATAATAATAATAATAATAATAATAATAATAATAATAATAGCAATAATAATAATTGAATCATTTGAATGTTCGTCGAAGCAAATGAATTAGTTTCCATGATCATAGACAGTTCAGTCCATTAATTGTGTGTGGGCTGTGATACTGCCCGGGTGCCCAAACCGAAGCAGGTGGTTATCTTAGGGGGTCACACCCCGAGCCTTCGACCTAATGGTCTAACCCACAAGGCAGTGGAGCATCGTAGATGACGTAAACAATCCTGTAGCCTTTTTTCCATTTAGATTTTAATTATATTGTTGAAAAGTAGGAAGATACTTAGCGCTTTCTGCATTCAGATTCTTGAGACTTCGAACCTAATTTAAATTAATACTAGAGAACACACTGGTTTCTGTTTCATTATCCATTGCTGATGTATTGTAAAACTAGCAAATTCCTACTATTCCTCCTACATCGACTTTAAACATTAAACCTCCTGCTTTGGTTTCCTTCTCAAGTGTCACCATGGCCAACGATTCTAGTGCGTAAAACATTGTCCCAGGTCTACTGAAACCGCGCTCCAAACTACACATTAGAGCCTTCAACGTACGCACCCTGTGTCAAATTGCCCAGCAGGCGTCCTGGGCTAAAACCCCAGGATCTCGTACCATTGATATATGCTGTGTCTCCGAAACACACATACAGGATCCCAGTGTGGTCATTCACTTGACGTTGACTCGTCAAAACGGAGAGTCGATGAGATGCACTCTCCGTGTATCTGGCGACGCGGTGGCTAGTTTTCGTGAACTGGCGGGTGTAGACATAGCACTAAGTACGAGGGCAGAACAAGCACTATTGGAGTGGATCCCCGTTAACAGTCGTCTATATGTTGTTCGGCTCAACAGCTCCGTTAGAACTCGGAAGGATAGGGACACACATCGTTGCCTTTTCGTTGTTTCTGCCTATGGTCCCACTGATTGCAGCCCGGATGAAGTGAAAGATGAGTTTTACAGGAAGCTTTCTGAACTTCTTTATAATTCTGAACGCTCAGACATAGTACTCGTAGCAGCTAGCTCAGATGAATTGGCTCCAGAGATCTTTAAGTATGGTGGTTCAATTCTAGCGATTAGGTTGACTGATATTTTAGCTAAAATCTGGGAGTTTGACGTAATCCCATCTGGCTGGTCACAATCACTTATCGTCCCAATATATAAGAAAGGGTCAAAATCATCCAGTGACAACCATAGAGGGATTAGTTTGACTAATACAGCATGTAAAATATTAGCGTCAATAATTATCGATCGTCTGACTAAGACTCGTGAACTGCAAACACGAGAAAATCAGGCTGGCTTCAGACCTGGTCGTGGCTGCATCGACCACATATTCACCATTCGTCAGGTTCTAGAACACAAGCATGCAAGCAGCATTTGACTCTGTAAACCGAGAGGTTCTATGGCAGTGTCTGTCATTAAAAGGCGTACTTCAGAAGTACATAAACCTTGTGAAGGCTCTTTACTCGAACACTACTAGTCAAGTTATAGCATAAGGTGAACTGTCATCTGATTTTGCAACTTCACGTGGTATCCGTCAAGGCTGTCCACTTTCTCCATTTTGTTCAACTTCATCATAGACATACTGATAGAAATAACGCTCTCATCGACAGAATTTTCGTGCATTGATTTTCTACCAGGAGGTCCATTTATCGACTTAGAATACACAGATGATATAGTCCTGTTTGGTAAAGACACTGATAAAATGCAGTCTTTTGGTAGCACTGAGTAACAACGCCAGAATGTTTGGGATGCGTTTCCTCCTCTAAATGCAAGTTGTTGCTTCAGGACTGGTCTGCGGCAACGCCTGAACTAAGGATAGGGAGTGAAGTATTCGAACGCGTCGACAACTGCACTTATCTTGGAAGTCTGTTCGGCCTTAACGGTTTGGCATCTGACGAGTTCTCGGCCCGGATTCAGAATGCTCGTTTGGCTTTTGCCAACTCACACCAATGGCGAATGCGAGTTATTCACCTATCAATTAAGGGACGAGTATATTGTGCGGCAGTTCGTTCTGTTTTACTTTATGGCTGCGAAACGTGGCTATTAAGAGTAGAAGATACTCGTAAGCTACTAGTATCTGACCAAAGATGTCTTAGAAATATTGCTTGCATCTGCTATTATCACCGGGTGAGTAATAATGATTTATACGCAGGGTATTAGGGAATGATGGTAAATGCGTTGATGAGGTTGTGAACCTTCATTGACTGAAATGGTTGGGCCACGTATTACTCAGGCCCAACCACCAATTATCATGACGCACAATGGTAACCGATGTTGGGGATGGTTGGAAGAAAGGTAGGGGCGGCCAGACCGAAACGTGGCATCAGTGCTTGGGGCCACTAACTTCTAGGTTAAGCCATGTTGGTAGATGCCGACTACTTGGTTGGGGTCCGCGTGACTGTCGTTAGAGACTGAGTGACATGGCTGAGAATCGATCACAATATCGTAGGTGTATACACTCTCTGTCTTCCCTTAAACTAAGAGATTAAGATCTCTTCATATCTTGTTTTCTACGAACTAATTCTTTCTTCCTGTACTATGTCCTTAGATGCATTGTTTCTTTTATATATTGCAACCAGTGAATGAAGTACTTCTATGAATCCGGTGTTCATCTTGTGCTAATGAGGTATGGTAACGTGGACCGATGCATGTATGTGCCTGGTCCTACGTTGTAGCTGACTGCATGACTTACTGATAGCGAATTACTTTGGAACTAGTATCTGTTCTATGAAAAGGCAAATATTGATAACTTAATTGTAGTGTGGGCTACTTATGCGGACTGATATAGGTAGGATTTTATAGGATTTCGAAGTGAAATGCCTACCGACAGAATATTGAAATCAAGAGAAGAGGATGGAAAACAGAGAGCAATCGGAATAACAACAGAATTGGAAGAATGATGGAGTATGTAAAGGATAACTCAAAGAAGATGTGCAGATGATGTATTTAATGTATGACAATCATATTTTACAAAGTCACTTTGTGATTTTACATAAAATAATAAATCTTTTTACTTCACCAAGTCTTCGTTCACTGCGGTATTAATGTTAATAGAGTTTATTTATCCGACTGCAAAAACATTTAAAATTTTCGTATTTTACTTAAAAATTACAATTAATCCACTAAAATACAAATGGGAAAATTAAATTTGTTAATCTTTATGGTGTAAATGTTTTGTAGTAATCTACTATCAAATGATTTAATACAATTATATCAATAGTTTTCATAATTCTGATTTCTAGGAGGATACCACTTGTGAACTCCCACCTTTAACTGAACTTGTCGACAACCCGGCATTCAATTGGGAATTTGAACTAGATACCTTTCAAAAACAAGCTATTTTGTGCCTTGAGCGTAATCAAACAGTCTTTGTAGCAGCCCATACTTCGGCTGGGAAGACCGTTGTCGCAGAATATGCTTGTGCTCTCTGTCGACGTCGGGGCACAAGAGTTATCTATACGAGTCCGATTAAAGCTTTATCGAATCAAAAGTTTTATGATTTCAGGTATACTGTTCTCACCGTATCTTGAGATAAATCGCTTTTTAATTTGGTAGCTAATAGCTTCTTATTTTTTATATTTAGTGTGAACCTTGAAAAATGTAGTTCTTATTTTGTTTTCAATTTTTTAATAGGTGTCTTAAAATAAAAAATATAATGCTTAGTATTTCAGTCATTGTAGACCATTTCAAATTGAAATTAGTGAAGGTACCGCTTGCGAAATCATACTACCTACAACCTAATAATCTCAGTCTCTTTTTAAGACTTTGATCCAACAATGAACGTTATCTATCAGGGATAAGCTTTTGTAAGTAAGAAGCTGATAATCCAAATCATCGTTGAATATAATCAGTCAAGGTTTCATGCTCACAACAGACAGCTGAAACGATTGATCGAACATTGACTAGTCTTAATTCCCTCATCATTTAGGCATAACGACAGTGAGACACAAAAATCCCTCTCAACTCTTATAGAGGTTGAAAATTTGACGGTAAATATTCTGTGCTTCTGTTCTTTTTGCTGTGCCATTCACTTATATATAGTGGTCGTTCTTCTAGTTAGTTATATTGTATGTTTGAACTTGAGGGTTGTGTTGAGATTTTTTTGTCGTCGGTTTATGGGAGTCAATAAAAATTTCCATTTGAGTTAGTTTCACAATTTACTAAACCACTTCGCCATCCCATTGTTGAGGTACTTATTTGTAGTGTTTATATATTCCTTAAGTAATCCTGGCAACTAGATTTCTAGATGAAATTAACAGTGCTTAACTGCATATATCTTACATATCGTTTTTCAATAACGTTTTCTAGACAAACTTTTTACTACTGAAAAATAGTATATAATTTTGTCTTTACTGTGTGTTACACCAAACACTTTTATTTTTAATAATTAATCTGGAAAGTTTGAAAAAATTAATTCGGGTAGCGAAAAGTATTAAATAGCATAAAAGCCTAAAATTTAGCATTAAAATACAATTCAATACGTCTACCTGATGCCAGCTGTAACTAACAGCAGACTATTGCTAACCTGGTTTGTTGTCTCCTAACTACCATTTTCATATTTTTTGAAATGGATTGTAGACAGACATTCGGAGATAGTGTTGGACTAATTACAGGTGATATCAAACTGGCTCCCGAATCTACAATTCTAATAATGACCACGGAAATTCTGCATAACATGTTGTGTAACGATGCTGATGTTATCAGAGATCTGGAAATAGTCATTATGGACGAAGCAAGTATTTTTTAAAATATTTATTGCCTATATGTTCATAATTCTCTTCATACTGGTTTATTTATTTGTTTGAACACATAAATATCGGTACGAAGGGTCACCGAAGAGATATGCGCCACACAAGTCATGTGATTTGTGTATGGACTGTGATACTACTCGGGTACCCAGATCGAAACAAAATCCAATTCAGCATTTACATATATATTCATAAACCCAGCTGTATCCCACCGTATTAATTTTCCCAAAAACCTTATTGATAAGAGGGTTTATAGTTGAATCTCTAGTTTAACTATCTACAATACTAGGAATTAGTCTTGTACTTGGGCACACCTTTCGATTTCAGTTTGTAATCCATGAACCATGTGTCAAGCTTAAAATGCCTTTGTAAGTGAGTAATGTTTAAAATTCATGATTTAACAGTTGTGAACTAAGGACAATCCAATAAACTGCACAGGTCAATTTTCTTTTTACAATTGTATTTCTGTAATTTGTCATTTTTTGATTATTTTAGCCTATTTAGTAACGTACTCTATTTCTTAAAATCATTTCACAGAATCAAACTGTGTATAAATCTTCATATTATCAAAATTCTATGACTTTGTAACATTGATCATACAATTTACATACACTAACACACCTAACTTCATTGAATACCTAGTGCAGTGGCAATGTGCACTGCTGTCTTGTTCCAGATCATGGGCTAAATAAGATTAATGAGATGTTTAGTTAACTGAGAAATCTTATCATCAAGTCTCCATCTTTCCAGATTATTGTTTGATCTGTTACTATTTAAAGATAAACAAATCGTTTGTGGTAATGATGTATTTTAGTACTTATCAGACTTCATATGTTCCATAATTGATTAACATATAACCTTATTAAAAGGTCTTTTTGTCTATATCTAATAGATAGGATGTGGCTTCCAGTAAAATCCAGGTTGTGCGTTCCGTCCCACTTGGGACTTGTCATCTGGATATATCTGCATCCTAGAGTTGATGTTCGCTTTGGGATTCGGACTCAGTACATCTCACTTCAAATGTTAATGCCACTGATTCCTCATAGCCACTCACTTGTGCAACGAGTATGAATTTTAATCTAATTCGGAAAGGTTTGGATTATCCAATTGTTAATATTTCGACTGAATTTTGATTAGTGTTATCCGTCTATTCCATATAAACTTGTTTCATAGTGGCTATTTTGAGACAATCCCCACCGGGCTCATATGTGCTAAGACGGATCAAAATTCAGTCAAAATATCAAAAATCGGGATAATCCAAATCATTACAATTTAAATCCGTATATTGTAACAGATTTTGAAATCTGCTAGTTCTTCAGTGGGAGTACTTTTTCTAGCTCTAATGAATAACCGTCAAAAGCCGACAACAAAACCCGGAATGTCCATCAGTTCAAGTTTTAATTTGTCACAACACAGAAAAAGTCTAACGCAAATAGAGGTACATGAATACAAACGAAATAGACAATTTCAGCTTAGATGCTACAATGTGTTCAATATGTAATTACAATCTGAATGTATCTGCTGGATTGTGATTGATCTCAGGTCATGTTATCATTATTTGAATTCATGAAGGAATCGGATAATCTTCGGTGATTGATTCTTCTCGAGGATCTCATTCACGTAGCGTTCAATGCTTATATCAGCAGTTAGTGGCGTAATAATCACTCTATATCTCAATCTTTCCACACTTTCCCTCTTTCTCTGACCCTATAGTACTCAGCAGTACACGAAGTGGCAACCTAACATTCTCAACGTATATCTTGACTGCTTTAGTCGATTGATTTATCTCTCTTGTTTTGGACTTAGCTTTATGTTGACAGTACCCACTCATTGGTTTTCCTTTACACGATTGTATTCTAAATACACCGTATATATATTATGTCTGTTGGTCTTTTCTCACAACTCTATTTTAAATTAGCTTACCGTTGCGTTGTATAGTTGCGCTTTGGTAGGTAGTTTATTTTTCGAATAAAGAGACTTGCCAGTGGGCTCATTCACTACGGTCTGTGCTGTCTGACTTAGTGACTGACTGCCACAGTGTTGATGCACCAACTAGACGCCATTATTGTGATGACCTGGTGAAACTATACTGAATACAATGCTTATTTACTCAAGTTCTATCATGCTAGGAACATAGTTCTGAAAATAATTTGACGAAACGTTTCATTCTGATTAAATGTTTTCGTGATCCAATCGTTATTTTATTACTGATGTTATTATTTGTGATCTCAATCTCTTCAGCTTTTCTACCCATAAATATGCTTTAATGTCAACGACAATGTATTTTGTTCGTTTTATTTTGCTAAGTATTTATTGCAACTTCTTTATTAACTAACGTATTTGCGTCTTCTACTTGAAATCTTACTATTATTGTAAGCAAAATTGGAATACAGGACGCGCGGTTCGTTCTGTTCGATACTCGTCAACTGGATTAATGTTCCCTCCGAGACTCAAACCCAGTTTCGTTCGCTTTAAACGTAATTGCGTTATCCCCACTTAAGTCATGTCCCGATAAGCATAATAAATGGTAACTTTTGTATCCATTTATGGACCAATACGATAAGTATATTTTTATCTTATAATTGTTATGTAACTAAAATGTTCATATCCGTATTCCTCTTATTATGAGCTTCATTTTGACCTATGAACTATTACTATACGATTTACCATTCTTGAATTATGGCCTGTCTATTAATTACTACCTCTCACATTCACAACCACATTTGCCTAGTTCTTGTACAAATGTTGTTTCAGATTTTATGGTACAGTGTGGTCTGTCTGGTTGGCATATAAACCCAGTATCCTTGGAATAAACGATTCATATCGTGGAGGCTGAGATTGGTGTTCTGGACTTAACTGGCTGGGCTAGGCAGGAAGCAGGACCGATAAGTACTCTAGACTGCTCGTACGGGTTTACGCGTCATTGGTCCGATCGATAATTCACTGCTCTCTAATTGGCGGTATCGTTACGTTATACATTAACAGGGCCCTCGGGCCACAAGTTATAAAAATTTAGCTACTGAATCCTAATAGCCATTAGGTGAAGTATTAATTCATTTTTATATTGTTTATTTGAATCTTCCCATTGATGTATAAAACGTCACTTGACCAGTCTCTTAGTGGCATATATGCATCCTTTGCGGATTATTTGTAAATGTAAACTATTCAGAGTAGTTACTAAGACTTCATAAGTTCATTTTATTGTGCAAATTTTACTGTTCTTGCCTTGTTTAACTCATCAAGACCCCAAATGCCCTGGTACGGCCGAGTGGAGAGAGTCCGCTCTCCCTCTCGAAATGCTCTCACATGACCACGCGTATATAGCCTCTGCCAGGGAAGTCCTACTCACTGCCCTCTTGTGGCGGGGGAGTTGTTTACGAAAACGAGAGGAGAAAAGCAAATGTCCGGCACTTTAACCGGATTCAAAACCAATGGTGCACATGGGCTCCAGTATCCTGCGGGAATAAATGGCGTATGAACCAATTGCTGGTCACCGGCTACCATGGGACTGCATCTCCTCACGATGCTCCACTGCCTTGTGGATCAGACCTCCAGGTCGAAGGCTCGGGGTGTGGCCCCCTAAGAAAACCACCTGCTTCGGTTTGGGTACCCGGGCAGTACCACAGCCCTCACACATGTCGAATGAGATTTGTGTGGCGCATATGCATTTGGTGCCTCCTTGTATCAATATCTATGTGTTAAAATAAAATAAATAAAAATAATAATAGATATTTTGATATAATTAGTCAGTTACTCATATTTTAAAGAATTTTAAACTCCAACTTCTGTTATATTTATGAACTAAACAATTGTAATCTATCATAGTGATTTTGTTTATTGTATTTACAATCTGTTTTTCTAATTATGTAGCCAACCAAAGTAATAGTTACTTTTTATGTATTCTTTTAGTGCTCAAAATGTTTATATGTATACGTATATTTCTCTTTCTCTACAGGTTCATTATGTCAATGATGTGGAAAGAGGTCATATATGGGAACAAATTATGATAATGCTGCCTAAACACGTGTTATTAGTTATGTTAAGTGCAACAGTTCCTAATAAACTTGATTTTGCTGATTGGTTAGGACGTGTACGTGGAACTGAAGTTCATGTAGTTGCAACTAATAAACGTCCAGTTCCATTGGAACATTTTCTTTTTACCGGTATGGATGGTCAACGTAGTAAAGATCATCTTCATCTAATTGTAGATCAAGCTGGTCAATTCAATTTACCAGGTTAAGCTGTTTTCTTTTTAACGATATATAATAGCTTTTGTCTTCATGTTCATATTGCTATTCGTAAAGATTTCACATTTAGAAAACATTTGTTTTTTATCTCTTCTGAACCGTATACAGCCACAATTCCAGCTACGAATCGAACACAAAATCAATTTATATTTATGAATTATTTATGGTTGCAAACATTAATTCATGTTTATCAGTATTTATTATCATCAATATTGTTTAAGTCATTATCGCTTTAACTCGTACCCTGATCCTGAAGGAACCGTGAATCCTCTTATTTTCATCCAGTAGACCACTAGAGCTCATATATCAGACTCTGAACACTTTCATTATCTGTATAAGATAAATATTATTTAATGAATCTTTTTTATAGAAACCGCAAAACCTGTTATGAAAAATATAACTTTTCTCTCTTCATTATATGTGCAGTATTAAGTTTCAGTTTAATATGTCGTTGTTTTTCCGGTTTCTACTATTTGCGTTAGAGTTGTAGGCATTGTAGCATTAGCTCTTAGACTTGTATAGAATATAAGAATACAATTAGAGCTATGTAAACTGTCATCTAAAAAATCATTTATAAATGCTTTCAAAACTATTTACAAACTGATTCACTAAAAAATAACTCCCAAAATATCATGTTTTCTTTTTCTCACACCTTTCTCACACAAATATAGGTTATAAACAGGCAAATCGTATGCTTAGCGGCGAAAAAGATGTTGATAAAAAGAAACCTACTGAAAATCCGGCAAATCCATCGAATGCTAAAAACGTGCCACGAAAGAATACTGGTGGTAAAGTGAATACTCCAGGTCATTTCCGTGCATTACCACGTAAGCTATAGAGAATTATTTTAGGTCAGTATAAGGTTGTTGAGTTTCATTGAGATCAGGAACCGACCAATATTAGACTACCATGAGAATCTGGAAGCACTGGATGATGGTTTCGTTCTAGTATGGGACTCAGCAGTACGCATCTACCGTCTCCCATGTGATAATCGAACCCAGGACTTTCGATATCGCGCGCAAACGCTTAGCCTCTCGACCATTCAGTTGAAAACCGACGGTGCTAATGTCTAACCTCAACCAATTCACGATATTGCACTACCACGTTTCATTTTCTCTAATGGCCTCACATCCGTCACTCTTGAACTCCACTAGTCACGACTTTTCATCGAAATTCGAGGAATTATCTCTAAACTAGTCAATAGTGACGATATGATAATTATCAGTATAAGGTTGTGGAGCTCGTTAAGTTATTCCAGGTTTTCATTTGTCGGTTCATAATTTCAGTGAAATTATTTGATCATTATATGAGCTTTGTGTACACCTAAATCGAACCGCAACTCATTTTTCACCGCTACACCACATGGACAGAAATTATGGGTTCAGAAAATTACTTACAAATGGTCGAAATATTTCATATTGTGCGTCGTGTTTAAAAGTTAGCCTAAAGAAATCCTGTTGCACGTACATTTCTAATCGATTTTAGCTGAGCCTTTCGAATCATTAGCGTTTGAGTTTTCTGTGTCCTATTTTAACCCAATATTCTTGTACATTAAAATCAGTATATCAACCAACAATATTTCACGCAGAAATCGTGTTACGTTTAAATGAATTAATAACATGTAATACTTGTTCTCTGATAAAATTTCTATAATGAAAACGATTACCTGATCATTGCATTCTTAGGTTGTATTTCAGTAGTTAATGTTAAGGTGTCATTGTACGAATGGTTTTCAGTGTTATCAAAAGACATCTTTCACAGCTCGATTAATATAACGGAACTACTGATCGCATGTTAGATTCGATAGAGAATTTTTCAGAGGCCAATCAAAGTTACATAGAGCTTAAGTTCAAGTACTGGCTATTTTAACATAAAGTGTGTGTGTTACTAACAATTTATATACTGTATAGCTCTCATGATGATGAAATTAGGAATAACAACATATCAATCATATGTAGCTTAGCTGTTGCATCATAATGTGCCTAATCTTTATGACAGAAAAAGACAACCATTACTTTATGTATATTCACAAGTTTTAACCCCGTTCGGTTTAGGCAATGGTATTGTCTCACTAGCTTCCACATAAATTGTGTATCAAAGTCTATTACGTAAACCCTTTGCTTGGCAAATGAGTTACGTTATTATTTATTGTAGTATATTGATTCAAAAGTTTTTAGAATAATTTTATATTTATTTGACTTCATTAGCAACTAACGGAATAAGTGTACATGATCATCGTACCAAAAATTTATGGCTTGGAGTAATTCACCTTCTTCAAGAGCGTGATCTTATGCCAACTATAGCATTTGCCTTTTCTCGATCATCATTGGAAACTCTGGCTGGTCATTTATCTTCAGTGGACTTGTTAAATTCAAGTAATCAGTTTTTGACTTTAATGCCAATTATATTATTGTTGATGTTTCTTCTAAATATATTCATCTATCCGTTAAGTGCCCTTTATTGAAAAGGTCGTTTAATTGGCCATAGAGCTCATCCTTGAATGCATCCACGTTATAATCTGTCGGGTCGTAGGCAGAGATTACGAAAAGACATTATTAACCACATTAGTTTTTTCTCAGTTTCATCCATCCTACTAAATTAACAATACATAAGTAACCACCAACGGGAATCCGATCGATAAATCCTAGCCTAGCTCTGATAACAGACGCCAATACTACAAAGTTCCTGATAAAGTTCACATGGTACAGACGTTTAGAATCGACAGATATAGATAGTATAGGTTGTACTTCGACGAAACCATTAATACACGTCTCGGATATACATCATTTATCAATATCACAAATTTTTGTGGACTAAACCTATAAATTTTTTGACTTGGATCAAACTTGGAGCGTTGAAGGAGGCATGCTTAAATGGGATACGTAGCTTTAGAAAATCTGATAGATCTCATATTTATTAATAACATCCTTGAAATTAACTATTCAGCAACTTTAGACCGTTTAGACTAAGATTCAATAAAGACGACGTGACTAGTAAATTGAAGAATGAAAGTACACACAGAATGTTAGTAAAATAAAATAAAACTTCATCCGATTTAAAATAAATTCACCTCAAGTAAAACGATTTCAAATATTGTTATTATGGATAGTAAGGGGAAACGCGCAGTACATTTTCGTCCCAATTATTCATCATCGTACGTGTGTGAAGTAGCATGCTGCCATTACACCCATACCCAAAGATCACTCCCTGAGCTTTTGACTTAAAAGTTCTATCTACCTCAGTGAAACAATGTCAGGAGATATTGTCTCTTGGTAACCGGCAAGCTGAGTAGCTATGTACGATTTTCGTTCCTTCATTTTCCTGCAGTCCATGGGCACTACTGATCAATATTGTTATTACTTTAAACTAGACAACGTGTTTCTTCTTTGTGATTATAATATAATATGCTTCAATACGAAGTTGAGTTTGCCTTTATGGTTTCTTTCACATCTAAAAACAGGTGAAAAACAACAAGTTAAGAATTTTCTACATTGTTCTGTCACTAAACGATTAAAAAGATGTGATCGTCAACTTGCTTCAGTTCAGTTTATTAGTAAATTAGCTGTTAGAGGATTAGCTGTTCATCATGCTGGAATGTTGCCTATTTTGAAAGAGGTGAGAGTTATCTTTTATAATTTTGTGAAATTTCTTAAAAGCTATCTGTCAACCGATATTTTCTGCACGTTAACTTTTGAAAACTAAAAGTGGGACACTAATTATATTTACGGGCCTTCAAATTACCCTCCTTATACTCAAACGTCTACAATGCATGACATCTAGCTGAACCTGTATTTTCATTTCGCCTCAACCATAGCAGAATATAACTTGTTCTGAGAGTTCATCATTATCAGTCTGTGGCTATTGGGTATTTACTTGTTTACTACCATCAGATATTATATACATACCTCGGTTCTTGTTGGATCTATTTTAGTAGACTTCACTTCATGAACCTTGTTTGCCAATTACAGGCGTCTATGTATTGTGTTTTATTCGGATAATCCCTTCAAACTGATCTGAATTTTTGATCAGATCAGTTAATAATAAAAGACGAACGCTCGTATGATAGCCATCAGGAAGCCAATTTGACTAAAATAGTCTCTACACTCCCATAGTTCATGATTATTTCATGCATTAATGGTAGTTAGACAACAGAAGACCGTAATAACCAATATGATTTCAGGTCTAAGCATGGGGTGTATCCATCAGATTACCGTCTTTGTTATCGTCTTGAGACACTGAAAAATTTTACAGCTTCAAACATCATCTATATTCATTGACTTATAAGTCGGCATTGGACTCAGTTTATATGGTAGTTGATGGTGTTATTTACTTATGCTATACGATCTTATTTGTAAATAGAAAGTTGTTGCATCAATAATAAAGCTATAGAAAGTCACGTAATAAACAGATAATGAGATGCACTAGGAAGAAAATAGTTTTTAGACGAATAGGTGTGAAGGATGATTGTATTTATGATGAATGAATAATCAACTGATAGTTTTGTGGATCTCTTCAGGTCTCGCACGCGGGATTCGGACCCAGGACCTTCGACCGTTAGTGCACACTGCTGAATATTCCTATGCTAAAACGAAACCGCCCCCCAGTGCTTCCAGGTTTCATGGTGGTCTAACATTGGTCGCTTCCTGATCCCAATGAACTTCATACGTTGAGATAATTGATTTGTTTTAGCCCGTGATTTTAACAAATGACTTCTTATAGTTTCCTTTGTTACCTAAGGCGATATAACTCAGGATCGGTTTTTTGTCGTGTAGATTCATTCGCTGTCAGTCTTCCTTTAAATCATGAGCTTTAAAGTTATCCTGTACTTTTTATTCTGTGAATTTATTCTTTTTTGGCGAATCATATTGTCTAGACGTAATCTGTTTTGCTACAATTGATTCTGTTACTACTTCTACTATTGCTTTGTCATTTGTCTTAAGATGTGGTGTGGTATATGACGCGATTCATTAATGTTCCAAGCTCTACGTTGTTTATGACTGACTGTTAATGCCATGATTGAGGAGATTACGAGATCACTTAGAAATCGGCGAACGGAACAAAAGATCAGCAACACAGCGACAAGAGAAGCTATACTATTCACTGCTCTCCATACTCAGTCGAGGGGAAAGTATGTTCTACAAGCAGTGGAAAGCACTAATCAACAAGCACACAAATCAAGCGTATATATACAGCATAAAAATGTCCCTGATAAACCTCGCAAAATAGCGTATTAAAAGTGGAAATGAACCCATAAGGGAAATACAAAGTAAAGGTAAAAATAAAAATAGACGCTTTTGGGGCGAAAATAAGAAATTCGAATTTTTAAAGGTAAAATTACAAAAATAAGACGTTTACCAGGTGATTTCTAGGGGCCTTTCATCCCCAACAGTTAATTTGTACATTCATTTTTCATTTGACCATTTTGTATTTTTATTCATAAAAGCGTGTTCTGTTTTGTTATTTTACACAATATTAGACAGTGGAGATGTTATTTCGACGTGGCTTAATCAGAATCTTATTTGCTACTGAAACATTTGCGATGGGTGTAAATATGCCGGCTCGTTGTGTAATCTTTACTACATTGGAGAAATTTGATGGTCAAAAACGTCGTCCTTTAAATTCAAGTCAGTGTTTATTTTATTTTATTAATAGTTTCTTTTCTTTTTCACGTTCTTAACCTTTAATATTGACAGAGGAAAGCTTTTATCTGATAATTCAGTAAATAGTGCTGGACTAGTTCAATCATTTCATGTCACGTTTTTATTTCATACCACCCTAATGTGATTTAAGCAACCTTACTCTATAAAGAAGTTTCACTTCTGTACTTTTACGTCCACTGGAATAACTCACTCGAGATCAGTGAAGATTAGACGACTCTCTTGGCTTCTCCAAATATTTATTATATGAGTATGTATCTGAAAAATAAGTGATTGTTCACTAAATAATGATTAACTTGCGTTTAAAAGTGCTCACATTCATAGAAATAAACTCAACAATAACAGTAACTAAGCGGACAAACGCGAAAGGGATCATTTCAATATGTTCGAACAGATGAGAATTGTCTTAACCAGGATTAGAATAATTATGTGCATTTCTGAGGAGTCCCATACTAGGAAGAAGGGGCTGTCTAGTGCCTCCAGCTTTTCAATGGTGGTTTAGCTTAGATGGGCTCAGTGATTCAACTGTGAAAAATTACTACAGTCTCCATTCTGACAACGTACAATTAACAGCTGATGAGGTATAAGCAGGAGATTACTAGATAAAAATCTATTTCCTCATTAGTAACACACTTATAACATACAAATCTCACATATGTGTTACACATTGTATCACTCTACATTATTATTAAGTTAATGGTATTTAATTTTATATTTATTGAACAAGACCATTATTTTTTAAATTGTTGATACAGTTTATCTGTTGAGAATGAAAGAAGATCGAGTTTTTTTGGTGAATTCACCATTTAATCATTTGTACAATTTGTAACTGTTTTTTTTAAAAAGCAGAATAGTTGAAATGTGTACATTTGCTTGTTTTATGCTTATTATGAACATTATCATGAAGATTTCTATGGTGTAACTTCAAGTAAATTTCATTTTTTAGGGAAAGCTTTCTGAATTATTATTGTCCACTACTTTTGTTAGTTACTATAGTTAGTTATGGATATCTTGCCAAATTATTGCCAGATTATATATAAGGCAGTGTTGTTATGTAATCCTTATTGATCACGAAAATATTCTTTAAATTCACAGTTGTACATCGATCAACCTCTAGTCTACTGAAGACTAAGGTGAATACATTTTCGACTTGTAGAATTCAATGAACACTTATTAAAGTACAATTCGTTATTGCCCAATTTATGTGGAGAAATTCATTATAGTTTATTGATAAGGTATTTTATAATAAATGGATATTGACTGACAGTCAGTCAGCTAAAACGTAGGACCAGGCACATATGTGCATCGGTCTAGGTTGCCATACCGCATTAGCACAGCAAGATGAACACCGGATTCATAGGGGTGGTTTGGTCAAAGGTGGTAATATATAAGAGAAAGATTGCATATAAGGATATAGTATAGGAAGAAAGAATTAGTTAGTAGAAAGAAAGATATAAAGCGATTTTAATCTCTTAGTTTAAGGGAAGACAGGGAGTGTATACACCGATGCCATTGTCATCGATTCTGAGCCATGTCTCCAACCATTGGTTACGAAAGTCACGCGGACCCCAACCAAGTAGTTTGCATCTACCAACATGGCTCAGACTAGAAGTAAGTGTCTTCAAGCACTGATGCCACGTTTTGGTTTGGCCGCCCCTAACTTTCTTCCAACCATCTCCAACACCGGTTAGCATTGCACGTCGTGGTAATCGGTGTTCGGGCATACGTAACACGTGGCCCAACCATCTCAGTCGATGAAGATCGACAACCTTATCAACAGATTTACCATCATTCCCTAATATCCTGCGTCTAGCGTCACTATTACTTACCCCTCGGTGATCACAGCAGATGCAACATAGTTATATCAAGATAATCTGTACAGAATGGACATGTACCAACAAAACCTGATCAAAAACTCAGTCCTATTTGTCAACAACGGAATAATTCCAACCCTCACTAATAATGACATAAACATCGTACTCATTTAGAAATTGGTGGCTATATGGATTTAGTAGTTCAGTGGATAATGAGCTATTATTTGAAGAAAGGTGTGGTGTTCGAGTCCCAATGTAAACATCAATATTTGGATGCAGACATATCTGTCTGACGAGTTTTAAGTAAGTTAGTGCATCCTAGATTCCATTACTAGCCACAATTCTTTCATTTTAAAATAATCCTAACAAAATGGCTATATCGAAGCAATCCATACATTATATATATATGCATGCCAACAAGGATTAATCAGAAATTCTGTTGTGTATGCCAATAGTGTAATAATTCAAGCTTTTACTAATAGTGATATATTGTTAGATAGTTTATGTTTATATATGCAATCACTGTAAACTTTTTTTCTATCTTTTTATTTCCTCGTTTAAAAAATGTTTCATACTTACAGGTGAGTATACACAAATGGCTGGGCGTGCAGGTCGTCGTGGTTTAGATGCTTCCGGTTCTGTAATTATTCTACTTGGTGGAATCGGTAAATCACTTACACCAGGTAGTTCGGGTTTACCATCTGAGCATACACTGTGTGATATTATTCTTGGAAGACAAATTCAATTAGTTTCGAAATTTAAAATCACCTACTCTATGATATTACATTTACATCGAACTAATTGGTTAACTCCACAGGTAGTTTCGTTACTGATAATAAGTGGATACATTAATTTTATGTGTATTTTATTTTTCATATTATTTTGTCATTTTTACAAAAAATGATGATCTATTCAGCTGAAATCCAATGTGTAGAATTGTGTAATAAATTTCGTTTGTTTTCTTTTGTCTGTTTACGTGTATGTGGTACATATTCGTTTGCCTGTTTTGCAACGAAATTAATATTAAGAATTTGATTTTAATCTCTGTACTCGTTTGTAATTACTCTCTCTCTCTCTCTCTCTCTCTCTCTCTCTATATATATATATATATATATATATATATATATATATATATATATGCATAAACGAAGGATGTAATGCGACGAAGTTTCATGGAAGCAGCCAATCTTAGACGTGAACTTGACCGTAAGCAATGGTTGTCAGCTTTACGCAAAAAACTCGATGAAACAACTACCCTTATACCACCTGCTGGATTATCATCAAATATACCTCATCAAATTGCTCGTAGTTCAAATAGTAAAGTTACAATATCTATGAATAATATGTCTCGTTTATCTGTACCAATTGGTGAACCTATTTTACAAGTGAAATGCCCTTTTGGTCAAATAAGTTGTTGTGATGCAATGACTACTTATTATCAGGTTAGTTTGTTATATATATATATATATATATATATATATATATATATATATATATCATCTTCATTGTGTTAAAGTTTCACAGAAGACATTTTATTCCTAGAGACGACCAAATCGCATAAAAACCTTATGGATTGGTCCTTTTACTACCTCCCAATTTTCTTTGTTATCAGACATTCAGATTGTATAGGAGAATTAAAAAAACCACTTTTGTAGAATAAATTACGTTGGGTTGTGTTAAACAGCTTGTATGAGTGAATAGTTTATTTCATAATCCATGAAATAAGTGGGTCCTGCAAGAGATCAACAGATTGCATGTTTAACATGTTGCGAAATCAAACATATGTCATTTGTGTTCTGGTAACATTGATAATTTCAACATTGTATACATTTATATATGCATGTAAGTGAACTAACTTACAATTAGATTTTATCTTTATTTTAGGATAAAATATCTTTGTTATATGTTTAATAAGAAACTATTTAATTTAACCGTTTCACTTCTCTTAATCCACAAGGATTAATCCTGTTTTATAAAATCTAAAAGAAACTATATCAAAAGTGTTCAATTTTTGAAGTGAAAATTTTCATTAAAACAACTTTATAATCGTCTTTAATCTTAATATTTAGTTTTTAGGTGTGAAGATAATCATCCGTTTTTCAATATTCAATAAAGGTATAATATCTAGCATTTTTCCGTTCATTTATTAGGTCAGTGTTATATATTACGAGTGCCATTTTCACGGGGGATTTCATTTCAGTCATATTAAATTATTCTCATATGGCTTCTATGAACACACCCTGTAGTTCACACACATTTATAATTAAGAGGCAGATACACTAAAAAACCATAGATACGTATTCTATGGTAATTACCTTATATTGTTAATATGGAGACTGGGCATTAACACCTATTATTGTTAACTGGTCAGAAAATGAACGATAAACAGACTTGCATATTTCGGATTTCCTTCTTTGTTTGATGCTTGTAGATCACTATTTGTCAAATTTCAACTTTACGCACCTATATACTGCCGGTACTGTTTTGTTTTGGATTCATATCGTTACCCAGTTGATCTCGAGTGCTCTTAGTGATATGGGGACGGTTTTCACTTCCCGGCTCTCCAAATCATAGAAGGATATTCCTTCTCGAGGGACTTGAAAAAAAAACTGAGTTAAGTTACCCGGGAGCGTAATTACAGAGCACGAGGAGCAACTGATTAAAGCCGGTCACACTGATTTTTCGTAAGTTAGATGAATACTTAGCAAATTTTACCACCGGAGACGAAAATCCATAGGGTAAGGTAAGGTGTGACATTTTCAGGGTTGACTTTTTCTTACCCTTTCCCTCCTTTGTGAACAGTCAGTAGTTGCTAGTTGTTTGTGGTGAACAACTTACTGACATCGTCCCTCTCTAAAGTCACTAGTATGACTTGACTTTCGAACACTGAGTTGCTGCTTTTAATCTTACCGTTCCTCAACCGACCTAAAGGTAGGTACATATGTTCCAGCCACTGTAGCTTGATTGAGTCATCATCAAACTCAACCATCTCGTCAAGGAAGATGTTACGCTCGGAGTTGTCGATGATTGTTAGAAATTAATCACAATGTAAAGTAACCAATTTCATATTATCTATGGTTCACTGCTTTTCAATATATTTCTGAAGTTATGCTTCGTTAGTCCAAGTATTTTCTTTAATGTACCAAAAAAGTGACATATTTCAAGTTTATTTTGTTTCATGCACGCATGTACTTGTACATGTTTTTGTAATTGTCATCACTAGATTTTCCTTTATTGTATATTTAGTGGTTTGTAGAGATTAAGTTTCATAATTGTACTATGACAGGGTGATGGATGTGAATGCTGAAAGTATCCTCACTTAAATGTGTTATGCCGTTTTTTCTTATTATTATTATATTCGCTCAGATTAAATAGGTACATAAGTTGTCATCAGCTTGCACATTTTTGAAATATTTTTACTGTATTTTCTTTTTGTAAACATTTAAATCCGGTACGAACTTCTTTGGGGAAATAAAGGTCAAAATTTACTTGATGATGATTATTATTTCCCCGAAGAATCTCGGAGTCGATCGGCTAGTTGTGTATCATTGATACTAATGAAATTTCAATCAGTGAAAGTTTCGCAAATACAATTTCACATTTAATGTGTTTGTGTACTTATGTATGTGAAATAATTAGTTATATTTTCTCTCTGATCATGAGATTTTTACAAATGTTATTCTTTTGTTTATCTTCATCTTTTTTGCAAATAAATTAGGCCTGTTGCAATTATCAAAAGCTTACATCATCCATTGTCCGTTTACTTTCTGAAGAAAATCTAACTGATCTACAAAAAGTCTTCTGTCCAGGTCGTATAGTATTTATTAATCTACCACAAACTGATAATTCATCATTGTATAATAAAGTAACAACAAAACAACCCAATTGGTTAGTACCAGGTGTTTTGGTTAATTTAACAAAGAAAAAAATCAAGAACGAAAGTGAAATACAAGTGAGTTGTACCGATTTATTTAAGATCAAATGTAAAAGACAAAATGGACTTTTCCACTTTCATCAGTTAATCTTACGCAACGAAGAACCTGGCATGTGTACATTGGTTCAAGTTGCTTAGTCCTCACATTAAATTGTTAACGTGAATTCAAGGATAGTAGGGTTAGTAAGTGTTATATTGGTAATACAAAAGACTAGCTATAAAAGATAGGATTCAAAAAAATGTGAATTAGTGTAATAGAAAAAAATTATGAGGGATCTTCTAACACTCACTATTTGTCCACTTTTTATTTTATTTATTTATTTCAACACATAGATATTGGTACAAGGAGGCACCAAATGCATATGCGCCACACAAATCTCATTCGACATGTGTGAGGGCTGTGGTACTGCCCGGGTACCCAAACCGAAGCAGGTGGTTTTCTTAGGGGGCCACACCCCGAGCCTTCGACCTGGAGGTCTGATCCACAAGGCAGTGGAGCATCGTGAGGAGATGCAGTCCCATGGTAGCCGGTGACCAGCATTTGGTTCATACGCCATTTATTCCCGCAGGATACTGGAGCCCCATGTGAACCATTGGTTTTGAATCCGGTTAAAGTGCCGGACATTCGCTTTTCTCCTCTCGTTTTCGTAAACAACTCCCCCGCCACGAGAGGGCAGTGAGTAGGACTTCCCTGGCAGAGGCTATATGCGCGTGGTCATGTGGGAGCATTTCGAGAGGGAGAGCGGACTCTCTCCACTCAGCCGTACCATGGCATTCGGGTGCTAATTAGTTGAAAATCAATCAGTCAGTTAATTTATTCCGATAGATCCTAATCAGAAAATGTAATAGTCTGGACTCTATCCTCTTGACAATATTAATTTAATCATCTAAAATACTTTGTTTTCCTTTTTTAATGCCAACAGATTATTGTTTGATTGGTTTTGCGCACTTGATTCTAGTATTTTTTATTCCTTTCTTGTAGTGCGATATTATCACTTGGGAATTGTCTAATTTACCAAATCATTCTAGATCATTTAAAAAGTGTAATCATCAATCGATAAATCAGACCGTTTCAGTGAATGATGTAAATGATAGAAAACAAGAAAATATTAACAATAACACTACTCAGTGCAATGAATTTGATGAAGAGGATATTTTGAAAGAAGGTGAAGATTCTCAACTGTCTAATACACCATACCCTCCACAATTAATGCCTGTTTATACACCTGAGGTAAGTATATATATATATATATATATATACCCTGAACGCATGGTCATCAGCGAGTTGCCCTCCTCTGACATCACGATTACTCACAAGAACTTTGAAAACCTCTTTCTAAGTTTATTGTGACAATTCTCTTACTTACGTACGTCACTACCACGAAACACATGCTCAAGATGCACAGTTCTTTATAGGAACACCTAATTAGGTAATAAATCACATCGCTCATTAGTTTGTATATAGTACTAACCAATAATTTACAGTTGCTTGGCCACTGAGTGGTGACCAGTATTATATATGTCAAGTCCTTTTTAATGCTGATAAAATTCTATTGACCAATTTGCAATATGGCCACTAATTCAAATGAAGCTGGGTGACACGTGGTCGATTCCGACAGGAAGCATCAATTCCCTCAAAATTACTGGTACATTATGCTAACGAGTGTCAGGTGGCACGAAACCTATATTCAGGGTATCCTGTTGACTACTTCTGACTACGACCTTGCTTACTATCCAATTATCTTTGTTCCATAAATCGACAAGTAAAATGCCTCATATTTTCATAATTCCACATGAAATGAACTTCACAGAAGTCGAGCACATTTGAAAAAAATGTATCCATCAAACATTTATCTTTCAATTGACTGTCATACAGAGTTCATTATCACCAGTTCTATTGTATGCATATTTATCACTATGAATTTATTTTTTTTCTAAAATATGGTATTTTTGTAAGAAGTTTTTATATTTATTCACAAATTCTTTGCAACGGCTGATCAAGAACTTCTAATTAACAATTAACACTCGGAAATTATGTGACATTAGTAAATAATAATTGTTTAATTATACCCACCATATTTCGCTCGTATGTGAAGGAAATGGGAAGTCAAGGGTCAAATGGTGATATTTGAGATGACGCGAAACGGTTCATATTTAGTTGTATTGAAGCAATTCAGTACTTATTATTTCCATTGTAACGTGAAAGTAAGCCTAAATGTTTATAATAAATGATCATGCAAACGTGGCAATAAATAAAATACTGATTGATATTTGATATAATTAGACGCAATTCCTCTTCGCACACATAAATGAACTGATATCAAAAAATGACCATTAGAATAGTGCCATTTTATTTCTGGTACAATAGTATACTTTTATACAAAATATCTCCAACAAATATTGTCCTTAAAAATAATACATTTAACACAAGCCAGCTGTCATCGAGAGAATAACCTTTGGATTTTTGCTTTAAATTCAAAATTGAATGACATTTCAGTAAAGTTGTACTATAGGAATGGGTGGATTAGAATTAAGGACGTGATTTTCGAGGTTTTGCACCATATTTAATTATCATATGTTGTTAAGTTTGTTGCCATTTTCTGTCTTTATTCTCTTCTCATTCAGCCCATCTTTTGCGCATTGCTTTACATTACTTGTTTATATTCAGTAAAGTTTTTTTTTCAATAATTTCTGAACGTGACGCACATTTATCTGTTTAATATTCGAAAATATTTGCATAAGCTAATAACGTTCACTGTATTTATTATTATAATTACTTTCTATCAACCCTTGTAACACTGATTTACAGTTTTGTACATTTCCTAAGCCTTTATTTAAACTCACCAGTTTCCATATTTGCGTGCTCTTAGACCTCACTTTGATTGTTGATAAAGTGTTATGAACATTAGACACAGATACTTTAGTGAACGAGAACACCGGTGGGGATATCCAAGTGTACTTTAATACAACATTGCAGAATATATTGGTAAAAATCTGAGAACCGTACAGTAAATACTTCATTTGCAAGATATCCATCAGTTGTCTCAGATTTTGTTGTTCCTTCGTCCCCATACCAATCACTCTCTGTTCTTGTTCTCTTCCGTTTTCTCAACCTTCTGTCTTCAGATATTTCACTTTCTTTTGGTGCTACATACTATTTATATCTATCGACACCAGTAGCACACACCACAATACCAACTGTCATTTACGCTATTGTAGTCATTCTTACAGAAGTTTTTTCAAACGTACAGACGCATTGATCGCCACAGATACATCAAGAGTTAATGTTGTAATCTATTTATGTCGAGTCAATAACAAATGAAGCGTTCTTTGAATAAATTATTGCTTTTTGAACTTCTATTTAGTCATTAAACGATAATAAGATGTTCTTTTTCTGTTTTTAACTATTCATCAAATACCATTAAAATTAATATTTAGCTAATTCTATACCTGTATTTTATCGTATATCAGTTTAGTGCAATTGTTGCTTTCATCTCTAAGTTGAACAGTTCTGATACGTACAGTTTAGCGAACTGGATTATGAAATTATGCTTATTATCATACATAATTAAATATTCTATTATTTAATTAAATTTGTTATTTTGGAATTCTTTCTCAGGTAAAATTCATAAAATGTATTGTCTTTTCATAATTCTACGTTTATTTTTCATTATAAATTCCACTAGTCAATGGAAGATGGTTATGCTCGTTTAACGTTATTATCCAATTTGTCTATTCGATCATTTGTACGAATTACTGATCATGTTTTCACTGTAAAACAGTATTGTAATAATACTGTAAATAATGCAAATATAACGCCATCAGAATTATTACTTCGTGGTATTAAACGTCATCGTCAACAAATAGCAGCTAAACAAGCTGGTATGCATTTAGTGATTGGTTCAAACTCGACTGCAAGTGATTGTGATCCCCTAGTTCTTATGGATGAATTAAATGCGAATTTATTTAATCTTGTAATTTCATTGATGCCGGAATCTTCTATGTCACCGATGTTTGGTCTACCAGTTAACTGCCCTACTAAAGTTGACTTAAGAACATCATTGAAGTTCAAAGGAATTTCAGAGGAGGTAATTATCATGTTGTACAGTAAAATTTATATATATATATATATATATATATATATATATATATATATATATATATATATATATTAAAGATTCCAATTGTGAAAATTAGAACAACACATATAAGCGAACAATTGTTTTCAATTAGATCGTCACCAGGCTTTACTCTAATATACATGAATATTTATACAAAAATGTTAAACCAATCAAGGCAATATGGATCAATGATCACAATGAAATAGAATAAGTCACCACACATAATAGGTAAGAATACTGATAGTAATAAGAATAATAAAATACGATAACGAAAGTTATATCAATAGTTAAACATTGATGATTAAAAAAGACATGGCCGTTATCCTGTTTTTCATTTTGTCACAAGTTTGGGAATTTTTCTTTTCCTAGAGAGCGGTGGCTTTATGGTTAAGTCCCAGGTTTGATTCCCGCTGCACTTAATTGGGTTTAGACATGCCGGTAGTATACCAAGGAACATGGTGAATAAGTCAATATGATCTAAAAAAAATTTTTACTATTATATAAACCACGTTTATCCTTTTCCTATTGTTTCCATATTTTTGTTTATATAAAATATTTGCACTGCGGTTTTCCAGTAGTTACTCAAGTACAGTTTTTATAATTGATTAGTCATCACATTTATTATTGCTAAGCTGGAGTGGTGACACTTTTTTCACTAGCGAATTCATCTTCCAGCCACTAGTTTCCATGTTTGAGTCCTGCCATATTTGCTTCAGTTTCAGCAACGGGGCTGTTTGCCTAGCACATAAAAGATTTGGCTCAATGTTTGGGTGCATAAACCTGTTAGTGAGTTACATCATCATTGTCAAGCTGGATTTTGAATTCATAGTCTGCCAATCTGTTGAAATATGAGTGCTTTAATCTCATATCGCTTAGAGAGTACTTCTTCAAACCTTCATAATACAACTGTGACTATCTATAAATAATTTGTTTGTGATCATTTAAATTTTTAGGATGCTTGTGTGTTTGATGAACACGCTTTACTCAGTGATGAACTAACAACACCACTTCTGACATCGGTTATTACTCAGCGTTTGGCTCCGATTAGTTGTCCTGATCTTGTAGCACATTTGGAACTGATTCATCGTACCTGCCGTCGAAGATGGGCTGTAAAACGAATTGAAGATAGTTTATCTAATTCGCAGTTACAATTAAATACGGAGTATGTGAAACGTTTGTGTGTTCTTGAAGAATTGGGTTTTATCGATTCAGCAACACATACTGGTTGTTTGACTTTAAAAGGTTAGACATTTTTATTATTTTTATCATATACTGTATTTTAAATTGTAAGGAAAAAACTCTTTTTGAGTGGTATGAAATTATATACATTATCGCTTCGCAAAAAATTTACACATTAGTCGATCGTAAAAAAAGGTTGACTAGATGAACAGTCGCTTAACGGTTTAAATATTTAGTTTTCAATCAGTACGTCGTTACAGGTTCAGACCCTGTTTTATCTAATGCATTTTGAGCAGTTGAACAATATATTTAGTCCTCCTTCAAATGGTATAGTTCAAATTCAAATGACATAAACCTGTATTTGATAGGTGAGTTACATCATAATGAAGATTTCAATAATAAAGTATCTTAGCGACTGACTATCAATATCACTAATTCACTAAATCAGTATGAATAATGTTTAATCATTCATTTTATTTCATGTTAGATTTAAAATATCATCTAGTTGGAAACGTATTATTAAATTAAATGTTTATCGATAGATTGTTACTTTATCCGTTTATCATAAACTTATGTTGGGTTTTTTTCTTCTCGACTTCTTGTAACACACTGTACGGGCAATAAGAGAAATTACCATAAGTCATTGTCATACAAAAGAATGACAATGAAAAGTTGTTTGATATCAAGCTGTTTTATATGTTGTTGTATTTTTTTAACCGAATTTCGATTTTATTATCGATTTAATGAAACTTTTACCCTCTGTTTACTTCATTTCACGAAAATCAATCAATTGTTTTATTATTGACCGTATTGATGATGCGATTGCGAAATATAGTGATCGTTTCATATTTTTATTCAATGCTGCTGTCATTCAGAAAACATTTAAAAGTAATTACTCGCAGAATACTGTATATTCTACGTTTCGTGGATTTTTTCAGATTGTTGTTCAACATATCCCAAGAGAATGTCACTTGCACTTGAGTAAATCAAGTCTTATTCCAATATTTTATCCAACTCTTCTAGTCAGTACTGTTTGTACTGTTCATATGACTATGCTATACCTATATTTTTTCCATACCATTTCCATTCTGTCAAACCAACACTATTTAAACTTAGAAGTAGTCAACATGAAACTCTGCCTAACCTAGTTTTTGTGCTATGATGTATATTCGTTCCTGGATCTTTTGTTACTGCTTACGTGAAGCGTTCGACTGATATATTGCAATTGATAACCACATATCAGATCTGAAAAGTTGTTTGTAAACCTTAATTTTTTCTCAGCCTCTAAATAACTGAATCTATTCGTCTTTTTACTTCTTTTTTGTTGCATTAATTCAGGTCGAATTGCTTGTGAATTGACAAAAATGGAAGTGTTAATTACTCAACTATTACTAAATGGTTCATTCACTGATTTATCGGCTCCTGATTTAGCAGCTGTTTTATCGTGTTTTGTATTTGAAACACGTTCCACTACTGATACAGAACAATTACAACAGCACGATGGACAATATTTACACAGTCTACTTGGATCTCTAATGAATTTTACTAATGATGATTGTAATCAAAATCATCTGTCTAATAGTTGTTCAGATGTTACTTCTTATCCTTCAAATCTTATACCTGCATTACAAAAGATTGTACTATCTGCTATAGAGGTTTGTTCACTTTTGGTTTCCAGTTATTAGGCTACTTTGTTTTAAATGATTTATATCTGTTTTATAAATTATTATCTATGATAATTCATGGCAGTGATGTAGTGTAGTTTTTTCTCAAAGTAGTATCCGGATGATATTTAAGTTAAACGTTTAGACCGTTAAATGTTCTCTCAGCGGTCTAGAGGTTAAGCGTTCGTGTGTGAAGCCGAAGATTTAATTCCCGTATGTTGGGTCGTGGATTCACACCGTTTGGATGAAAAAGCTGTCCAGCGTTTCCAGGTTTTCAGTGGTGGTTAAGATCAGTTTGAATCTTTAATTGTGAAAGATTATTGTTATTAGCTACAGGTGATATTATTGGATTGATTGTAATAGAATTATGCTTTGATGAATTGAAATTTAAACCAAAATACTATTTTTGGTGACTACGGACCATATAAGTTGGACGAAATGAAATAAACTCTGAAGTGTGAGTTAAATTAGCTAAACAGTCATTGAAATCCGGGAAATGACAACCCTGCAAGATAGTAAACCCTAAATATACAGACCTCCAGGTCAGTTTTCACCTTCAAATTGTTGATCTAATATTCAGTGATTCATATGTTTCCACGTTTACATTCATTTCTGGATATTACGAATGTCATTGATAATACTCTCTCAGACAATATTAAATTAAAATGCTGAAAGCTGACTTGTTAAACCATAACATCAGCTTTAAGTTCTTCACTATTACAAGTACCTGTAATTAATGAACAAGTTTTATGCAGTTATTCAGATTGTAGTATGCTGAAAAACTCTTTTGTACTAGTCACCATTAGGATGTACGTTATGTATACTGTTTATTCAGTTTTACTGTTCATAGCTCAACTTATCAGACTATTTCATAATATTCAATATATTTCTACACCCGTTCACGTTTACTACAATTTAATGTAATACTTGTGAAGTGATTGTTTATCAGTTAAAATACCCAGCTTTTAACCTGCTTTGCTGATTTTGTTTGATGAGCCATGTTATAGTGTCACTAGTCGTAACCTATCACAGAAACAAATAATAGCGTTTAAGTCAATTCAAGTAAATAGAAAGATGAGTTATATAAAACAAATTTATTTTGACTTCAGGAGATACTCCTGGAGTTCTAGTGAGAAGTCGTTACCAGTGGAGTTCAACCAGATCCGTTGTGAGAAAGGAACTTACTGAATACAATGGTGTACGGTGGCACAACTTCGTGGATTGGTTGAAGTTAGACATTAACACCGTTGGATGCCGGCTCAGTGGTCTAATGGTTAAGTGCTCGCGCGTGAAACCAGTAGGTCCTGGGTGCGGGATCGTGGATGCGCACTGCTGAGGAGTCCCATAGCAAGACGAAACGGCCGTCCAGTGCTTCCAGGTTTCCCATGGTGGTCTAGCTTCATTTGACTCATGATTTCAACTTGTGAAATTTGTTCTTATCATTGTTGTGCAATTTTAAGCATGTTATGTTTTTTATCCATATATATTTGAGTAGGGTTAGCTGATAAATTATTAAATTGTTTTTTATATTCAAGGGCATTTCATCAGATATACTTCCATTAAATAAGTATATTTTAGGAAGAAACATAAATGTTACTGGTCCAAAATTCTATACATGAAAAGTTTAAAGCTGTCTGCAGTCGTTCCACGTAGATACTTACTACTTACATCTGTTACCCCTCATGGGCTCATAGGCCACCGACCAGGATTCTCCAAGCAAATCTGTTCCGAACTCTTCTTTCCAGCTGTTTTCAATTGGTATTCATTCTTTTGATGTGTGCCTCCAACTTCCGACTGAATGTGTTCTTTGACCTCCCTCTTTAGATTTTACCTTCAGGATTCCAAGTTTGGGCCTGCTCCGTAACTCAGTTTGATGATTTCTATAGTGCATGTCCTACCCTCCTCCAGTGTGTTTTCCTGATTTCTCTTCAACTGGAAGTTGGTTGCTAATGGTCTCCAGCCAACGGACGTTGAGTATCTTGTGTAGACAACTGTTTAGAAATACTTGTACTTTTTTATGATTGTTATAGTAGTTGTCCTATTTGTACGGAGCTGAAACTTGGAGAACAACACATTTAAACAGTATCAAATCTGATTTATTTTGTTTTTCTTCTTTTCCAGCTAGAGCAATTACAGATTAAATATGGTCTTACTGATCCATCTATAGACACAAGGATAACTCTACAAGCTGTAAATGCTGTTTTTGCTTGGGCTCAAGGTTATTCATTCTCATCATTGGTTAGTATGACTAGTGTTCCTGAAGGTCACTTGGTTCGTGGCTTATTACAACTCGATGAACTATTACATCATATATGCAATGCTTGTCATCATCTGGGTGATAAAAATTTAAGTTTACGAATGAAGGAGGCAAGAAGTTTAATATTGCGAGATCTTGTATGTGCTCCAAGTTTGTATACTGCAGATGATCTTGTGTGAATTATTTTATTTCTGCAGCAGTCTTATTTTGTTGATGATATATACGCATATACATACCTTTATGCTTTTTTATATTACTACTTATAGTTACACTTGCTATTTATTTCAACTGAAATACTTTTTATCGAGCATATTTATACTTTTAATATCAATGCATTTCAAGGTTATTTACGCAGCTAGTTTTTTTAATGTTGTTCTGTTCCCCTTTTTATATTATTACTGCTGAGTATTTTTCTGTTTCTACCTGGTTTAATTAACTGTATACAATCTTTTCTCCGCGCGTTTGTATACAACTGTATGCCTATTTACATATTTTTTTGTTATTTAGCTATTTTACTGACTTTTTCAAGATGTTACTCTATTTGTTGTAATTTGATATAACGTTTGTATTGTTTCTTTTTGAGCATAGTCTGTTTGCTCTCCTTTAGTTTAGTCGTTATAATCTATTTAAAAGATAAACATTTTAACTTGCTCAATTAACGAATGATATAATGGCAGCAATTCAATAAACATTTTTACTGAACTGATTCATTTTCTATGATTTGATATACTTTGAAAAAAGAATTAATTTTCGGTGTTAAGCATAAATTTAGATTGCTTGTGTGCAGAGTTATTTTACAGTGAATATCAATAAATCTATACCAACACAAGGTTAGTGTGCCGAGAACTGAATTTGGCACAAGAATTGTTTGCTTGACAATTATTTGAAGTGTGCCATCTCAAACATAAGTGTTGCGTGGGCGGAAGTAAGTAGTGATTGATTGTTTTTTTTTCCGACAGGCTAGTGGAAAGTCTGACAGATTTTTGATGTGTCGTACATATTTTCCTAGTTTGTACTTGCTTGATTATTGATTAATGCACGTACTAGTCAGGCGAATTAGGCGATCTTGATTTCAGTTGTGTTGAGGTTTGGTAGAATGGTTGCTGGTTAGATATCTAACTATAGAGTGAGTTGTATACATAGACAAATGAGGATTTGTATGGAGCGTTGGCGATCTTGGTTCAACCCACACTGTTCCGGATGATACAGTTAAGTAAGCACAACTAGCAAATCGCCGTGGGTCTCTGAACTTTCAAATAATGTTAAAGCAATCGAGCCAAGTTTACTTTCTGAATCGCAGAGTATGAGATGGTTGCGATTTGCAAATTGATTTAAGATTCTTGAGTTTATTCTTTACTTCAAGACTCAATATACATCACAAATTAGCTAACTGTTGCATAAATCTGTCTACAAATTGTTAGGGATGCAGAGGAATATACCAATAATTATCGTGTTAAGTCTAATGATGTCCTTGGACGTTAAATGGACATTTCCATTGGTCGATATTCATTTCACCTGTCAAATATTGTACAAATATTGTTTTCTATTTTATGGTATTTTATGATGTGGTCTGGTTGGTTGGTATATAAATAGAGTATGTCTGAAATATGATGATTCATATCTCAGAGGCTGTGACTTGTGTTCTGGACTCAACTGGCTGGACTAAACAGGGAAGCGGGACTCTAGGTCGTCCTTACGTGTCACTGGACCGGTCGATAAATACTCTGCGCATCTAACCTTCAGTCCACCCGTTACAACACAAATCTTCCCTTGAACTCATTCAGGAGGTTTGAAATATGGAGCGCTCTTGGTCGTAGCTAGAAATATCAGCCCTTAATATGAGAGCTACGTTAGACTTATCCCGTTTGTTACTGTTCTTAAAATACGGATTCGATTATGTATATCACGAATATCTCTCGCCAAAACATTTTACGACTGTCTCTGATACCAGATGGGACTACTGTTTGTCTATCATTATCTGTATTTACGAATTCATTTGGCATACCGATATAGTCTTGTGGAAATAAACACCTCGTTAGATTGATTCGAATCAGTCACTATAAAAATGGAGTCTAGCAACTGAGGATTCGTCTTTTTTTTCGATTACATGATGGTATTATCAACTAAATCGTAAGTATAGTTGGTTTGTTAGAATGATGTAGATAGAAAACCAATGTTCCTGGTGTGCGTGTTAATGGAAATAAATTACTAGTTTATGTCAGTGAGTAGGATGTGTCTAGCCGTCTTAGTGACCGTAAATGAAGCTTTCAAGCGTTATTTAGAGGTCTCCGGAAAATAAGATCCATGTCGGTGTCTGCAGCTTTCTTGTTTTAATGTTCAAATGTTTGGGGTATCAAGTATCCTCAAGCACTTTTACACTCACCCTGTAGGTGAGTGTTGCACTGGCGATTTTGTTTCAAGCTTAATTCTCACTCCAGCAAGTTGTGTGACTCAAGTGACTGAATTTATTCCCAATCTGTTAGTTACAGTTTCCTGTCCTCACACTCACTTTTAGCTTGAACTGATATAACTATCATTCTTCATTCTATGGTGTCATGCGGCCTAATTTTCTTGTATATAAATAACGTATGTTCAAAATATACGATTCATATATCGGAGGCTGATATTTGTGTTCTGGATTGAACGAGCTGATTTAAGCAAAAGCTACCATAAAGAAGACCAATAAGGACTCAGAATTAGCAGTATGTTGCTCGTGTTGTTTGACGCATCCTTAGTTTGGCACAGGGACAAAGGTCATAGAAGTCAGTATCCTAGTTGTCACGTGATATTTGATGAGCCACAAGACATAACGACGAGGAATAACTGTTTATATTAATGTAAATTAGTGCTATCACCCTGTCGATTTCAAAACAAAGTAACTAGGTACGTGATGGTTCTAAATATCCCTATGACTTTGGGTGTACATTATTACCCAAACAAATGTTACTACCCGTTTATCCAAACAATAATTACCCACTCAGTATTCAGATTTAAACTGCAATCAGCAGATAATTTGACAAATTATATAAGAGTATTACCAAGTGCAATAATTAAATAATCTTATCAATACAGGAGTGATATTATATCCTTTTGGGATAGATCTTGTACAGATTGTCCGAAAGATAATATTTAGTTTTGTTATAACACCAAAATGTTTTCAATTCTGAAAGAGGGCTTTCATTCACAGTCAAAATGTGTAATTCAAATGGGATTGTTCTAATTTCATAGGTTACACCATACTGACTCCAGAATAGTTCATAACACCGGGAGATGGATGTGGACGTCTTATCAGTTACATTGACTACGTTGCAATCACAAAAGGTCAGGTTCGGAAAGCTAGAGTTTACCGTATTGTGACATGTATATTCACTGATTTTTGTAACGACAGTACAAAAACCACATTTCCTATTTGTCACACTAAATGTAACCGAATTTATATTCAATATCTATTGACGGTTATTATATATACATTTTTATTGCATAACTATTCAGTAACTATATAATATGTATATTCATATTCTTTTTATTACAAGCTTCCAATTGACCTATTGACTACTAATATACAGTTTACTATTCTTAAGTTTCTCCCAATTTATTAGTTACAGTATCTGACACTCACAGCCACTTTTTTCCTGATGTTGTATAATTGTTATTTTCTCTTTTATGGTATGGTGCGGTCTAATCTGCTTGTAATATGAACCACGTATGTCTGAAATACATGATTCATATACCGGAATTTGATATTAGTGTTTTGGACTGAACTGATTGGATTATGTTAGAAGCTTCTACCTCGAAGGATTAATAAGAAATGAGGGTTGACTCCAGACTGTTCGTACTAGTTCATGCGTCATTGGTTTGATCAATAAGTCGGTGTTCTAAATGGTGATGTTACTACATGGTATATTAACAGGTCATAAGAACATAACAGTGATCACATGCGGACACCCTCAGGATCAACCACTAACTGGGAACACAACAGTGAGTTCCCACTTGCATTCTGTGGCTGTTCTAAAATAAAGACCTCTCAGCTTAGTCGCCGTCACTTCGTTGAACCATTTGAAGTGAATGCAAAATGACCACAAATATGTCATGTAGTTTTCTTTCATCTGAAATATTAAATTAAACCAAAATAAAACTTACAGTGGTCAGGTCTTCACAAAGTTACATGTTAGTACTTCCATCCTTTGTTTTCTTAACCTCTCCACCAACATGTATTCTCACCAAAATTTCAAGTAATAATTTGGTAATTTCGAACACTTAATATTTGATAATTCTGAATGGACACTTATAACTTCAGCGCTTACTGGAGATCTGACAGTCAATGATCTCAGCTATTCCACTGTTCAGCGAAAATGAAAGCGAAAGGCGATCAAATTGGGAAGATAGTATTAATTCTAGATTTGTATAAAAATCAAACTACCCAAAATACCGAGGCGTTTCCCTTCACTAAGCTAAATTTTATGATTTTGATGGTTTAGAACGCATCAACACTGATGTTTTCAATTTTATAAATTTTAATTTAAGTATTACCAAAAATGTCGTTGATCGTGAAAAGATATCCTTGCACCTGTGCCCTTAAAGAGTACGATAGGTTTTCTGTTATTGCATCCTTTGGACTTAAAAAATAACTATTCGGATGTTTGCTTTCCTCTGAACCCCATTAAACATGAGTTTTCAGTCTGTATTTTCATCCAAGCTGTCTGAAAACCTCCTATTATTGACTGGGTAATGTGACAAGCGTAGTTGTTAACGCCCAAGATGTCTATTCACGGTGGATTGTAGCATGCAGCGAGGTGAGTGTGTAGCGGTAAACAAATCCCCAAAGTAAATAGCTCTTTAAGTCTTAAACATTGGATGCTGACCACATTCGTTTTAAAGGACTCACCTAACTGAAGGCGCTCGGTCATGCATCCGCACCAGGTCACGAGTGAGGACGTCGTGCTCAACATCCCATGCAATCGCTAGCCAGATTAGATCAATCGATCCTCGATATATTGATAGCCCAACAAACATATCTTCGAACCTCCTAGGTTCTGTCTTCTGATTTCACTTGATGGGCACGATTGACATTAGGAGGTGTTACTGGTTAAAGCGTTTGCAAACTCCAAATACCTGTGGCATGTTCATTAGTGAGCCCGACGTGATCTGGTACACCAGATTGCAAACTGTGAGTCTGTTC